ACGGAACAACACCGTGCAGACGGACGATGGTCATACAGGTTTCAAGTTATTTATCACCGTACCGTGTGTGCGTCTCTAAATTCTGTCATGATTTGGTATTCTTTGTCGCTGAAACACTTACAGTGTTTGTTAAGGTATGTATGACGTATAGTTAGCTTAGGTTTATAGCATACATTATTTAAAACCAGACGCGATACACTAAGCGCAGACCACTTGAATAGAGGTGTGTATGTGCAACGTATAGTTCCATGCTATAGTCAAGACAGTGTACACTTGGTTAACACATGGAGCTAAAAAAAGAAGGAGAGTGAACTCCCTTTGATGCTATTGTTACCATGACTTCTGCCGACTATTTGGTCAACAGATAACACTTGACGGTTTTTTTTTTTGGGGGGGGGGGGATTACTGGACGTGAATATTTAATTAGATATGATCGGACGTTATCGGATGAGTTTGGTCAGTATTAAAAAGCAGGGTGAGGGACGAAAAAAACTTTAAAACGACTAGTAGGAAAAAAACATGGCCAGAATAACATAGTAACTTCTAAATTAGTGATGTGTAATACACAAGGAATTGTGATGGAATCAATGTAGTGGGGAAAAGGTATCGTTAACTTCCAACCCGCCACAATATAACTATCCCCTATCCCTTAATATGAGCTATCAACACAAATCAAAGCAACGCAACGCATGTCAAATTCAATCGGCGATTGCCGGTTTGGCCGTGATGTGCCGTTATTGGCACCTACCCTACCATGACGTAGAAGAGGTCAGCTTACTATTTAACTAAATTTCGGCGTCAGCAGAAAAAGATTTTTTTTAGCTCCATGGTTAACATGTCTGTATTTGAAACGTATTCGCCCGATTGCAGAGAAAGTAATTGAATTGAAACAACGGATCTATTCACACGTAGTAAACTCATTCAATTCTGACATTAGCTGACCAGCACTGAACGACAGCGCAATGTTATTGAGTCCATGAAAGGCTTGAATTAGCGTGCTATAAGATATCCTTCCGCGGCAAATGGGCCTTGACCCCCGTTTTGAGTACGCTGCAGGTACATTTACTAGTGCTATACGGGGTAGCCATCACACGTCTTCAACTGTGGAGAGAGAAAACCTTATACAATCTAGACTCGTGACCTGCATACAAGTCTCGCTTTGAACAATGCTACATGGGAACACATGCCAGAGAATTTTAACACATCCACCCAAGCAGAAAACTCACAAAATTACACATGCCACAATTTCCAAGGAAAACTACTAGTGGAGTTTTCGTCATTCTGTGAACCATACTTCGCACATATGTTGCGCCCTCAAGCGTCTAAGCGCGTCTATGGCGTAAATGAGTAACACACAGGAAGTCATCCATCAATAAAATTGAAAGGTTTTGGGAGATTTTACTATATTTTAAATTACAGACAACCACACAACCAAACAATTATTTGTTTAAACGATATTGCCTTCACGCATACAGGTTATTTCGGCGTTAGAGAATCGCTCTGTCTGGCGAAGGCGCGACTAGGGTGGGACTCAGACTAGTAATACAACAGACTCGCAACGCCTATTGTTTAAGGTGTTAATCGGCTTAATTGTATATGCTACGCGTGCCACGCTCTGTTGCATTGGCATAGACACCGTCGAAGTTTACCGAGCACTGGATATTCTGCACACTTCGCGCTCCTTCGGAAATTGCGTATTTCTTTGTAAAACGGATCCGGATATATTTAAAAAAACGGGAGATGCGTTCTGGACATTTTGACCTTTGCAGCTGTGTAAGAATTTTAAGAATCGACCAAGAATCAGGGGAGTTACAAGTAACTGAATGTCTTAGTGTTTACCTCAAATAGTTTTTGAATATATAATGAGCAACTTTGAAACGATATTTCTCGCTGTTGCGGATTTTGCGGAAGGTTTCCAATATTTTTTCGGAGAGAGCTTATCGCTGCGTTTTGAACGATCATACTTCTTTTTGTGTTACCCGTTTTGTTTTCGTATTCCGGGATGCCGAAACATGAGATAGGCAGATAGCTAGTGTCATGTACATATCTCTCTCAGCGTATCAGCGTGATCCAGTAACGGTAAAAACTGGAGGTGCGTTATTTTTGTCGCGTTCGACTTCATAGTACGCGATCTACGCGTTGTTCAGTGACTGTTTCAATTTTCTATTGTGTGTCAGTATTGTTGCTATTTCGAGTTTCATTGATTTTGTTTGACTTCCGTCATAGTTTTGTATAAAAATAGCCCAGTATATTTCTTTTTATTCCCATGGAGGTAAAAAGAGACCTCCATGTTATTCCTAAAATAGCTTCCCACTCGTAATTATCGTCTTCAGATTCGCCAAATTTTTCCGTAAATGCCATTTTCGAAGTTCACTGACAACTCCTGTCGTCTATGTCACTTCCTGTCTTTATGTCTCGCGATGCATCGCGATAGTTGATTGTAATATGATTGTGATTGTTATTTTGTGAAATATAATGAAAATGTTGTTGCTCAGCAACGTTAACTCGGTACGATAAGAACTGATAACCTAAACAAACGGGTTGACCAATTCACCATGTCCTGTTTTCTGTTTCTGGACTTTTTCGAATTTTGTTGTAACCCTTTAAACGACCAAGTCAACTGTTTTGACAAGAAAAAAAAATACCTGAATAATTTATTCAAAAATACAATGCATCGTCCGAACCGAATAATTGCAGTGAGATCTGATTGGGCGCGCCTCGAAACAAGGCGCCAATCAGCTTGGACGTACTGAATTATAAAACAAAATTCCACTTCCTGTTTTTGTCGCTATGAAGACATCCTTCCCACCGTGACACAAAACTGCGTCTATTGCCTGTACCTACCCGATGAGGCTTGAGGGCACCAACACCGAAAACTTTCGCAATTTTATCATCAATAATATCACGATTCATTGGCTCCGCCATTTTGTTTAAAATGAAACGCCAAAGAGGGATTTGCAACACGCAAACTGATTGGACAATGATTAGCCGCAACTGACTACTGGGGGCGCTGTTAGAATACGCATATTTGATGGTCGTTCTGCCAAGGTCTGTTTAGAGGCTTGGCCGAATAAACTTAGACATTGGCTAGCGAAGATGATACAATGTTGCTGTTTTGGTGTTTGGAACATTATGGCGGTGAAGTCAAGGTTAAAAGCATAATGATCTCAGATGAAAAAGCTGCACACATATAGAAGAATGCAATTTACAATTTGTTATATTACTTTTCATTTTCTGGAATTTTCATCACTATTTTTTATTTGTGGCTCACCTTGATTCTCCAGCAAGGAAATAATAGATGATATATCTGAATCTGGACTTAAAATTGGTTTAAAGTCTAGAACATGGTGCATAACATACCGGTGCAAACCACACATAAAAATGGTTGTCAGAACTCAAAATTTTATTTTTGCATTTTACTACCAAATGCTCAATTCTTCGTATATTTTATACAATTTATTAATGCGAGTAGGTTATAACCTGTTGACCACAAAAAAAAAGTTATTCTATTCTTAACTACACAAAGAATGTAACTTTTTTTTGCAATATCTTTACGTTTTGTGTCTTTGCAACAATCGAATTTCTACTACCATGTTTATATACACGATTAATATGCATACCGGTAAAACAGTGATTGTGATGTCATATTTTACCCACAATTCCTTGCTAGAAAATCAAAATGGTGGACGACGTGTATGTATACTGATTGAACGAAATGTCCTTGGTCCTTTTTTCAGATTATCTACATCATTATCTCAACCGAGTTATCGTTTAGGCCGTATATTGTCTACTGTAACAGTGCAACTACCACCAAATCATGCCAAGAACACGAGGATGTTGTAAGTTTGTTCTAATTATTAAAATAATATTGTTTTAATTATGCATTTAGTCGAAATATTATCATATGCGGTCGATACCGACATTTAATCAAATAACATAAAGACAAAAGCAATACTTGGTAAAATAAGAACGAGAAAGATAATATATATTTCTATACATGTTGCATCAGCCATATATCACGCTGAGTCGTAATGTAAGTATTGTCTACATCAAACACATGACATGTTTAATATCGTATTTTTGAGAATACATACATGTGTATATATCACCACCAAGGTTTTATACGTGCAATTCTTTCGTTTATGTAAATCATCTGTCATCAAGTAATATGCTCTTGTAGTATTACTAATACATGTAGTATAAAGAAAATCGTTTTGTTTTCAATTTAAGATCAGCCTCTGCTCTGGAATGTAAAATATTATCTGAAGAATATGTAAAACAAACGTCAGAGTTCATAGCAACATCGACGATGGATACGCCAATAAAACGATATCTCAATGTTCCGTTTGAGGTACTTCTTCGATACTACGGGATGTTAACGCGAAGAGCTGTCCAACATGGTGTCTCAGCAATTGTCATAGATACCGATTTAAATATTGTAGTTGGTGCTATTCTAGTTTATGTTTACTCTAATGAAACTGAACTGGTGAACGACGAAGTTGATGATTTTCCCGGGCTACGCACCTTGAAACCAAATTTGACGCTAATGAGGGAAATGCAGAAAAGAATGTTCAAGTTCAAAGAGATGACTGGATCATCGGGGTCTAAGGGTAAAATTTGTGAAATGTGTTATGGCGGTGTTTTGGAAAGTTATCGTCAACACGGATTGGCGTTGAAACTGGGGCTTAGGAGTATGATGGAAGCAATGGGAAAAGGTGCAACAATGTTTTTTGGTTACCCGACAAGTCTTGAAGGTCAAACAATGATGGCACGTTTATCATATATGTTCAAAGAAGTGGACTCCATAAAATATAAGGAAATTGAGATGAAAGATGGAACGAAGCCATTTGAAAATTTCAGTTATAAGTTCGAGGATGTAAAATTGATGTTGGCAACATCGGATATCTTGCGGGTTTTGGCGACATCAGATAGATTGAGGGTTCCAAAAGGTTACATATAGCAACAGAGTAGCAATCGCCATATTCTAAAGTATCGTCTTCGGTATGTAGTTGCCCAGCAAAATAAAAAGGCAAGCAAACTGAACACCCGAGCATTACGGCACGACACACATGTCGAGACGAGATGATGCATATTGACTAATTGTCTAATTTGACTAATTTGATATAGATCTCACAATTTGAGAATTTCAATGAACTGACTTTCACCTAAATAATTATATGGAAATTTAAAATAGAAATGTTTCCATTTGAACAATGGGCACGATCTACCCCTCTTAAAGAAATTATTCCTCAAATTTATTCTCATGATACGAAGTTTCTACATGTGACTTGTAACATTTCTCTATAAAAGTACACAGCTTATTTTTGGAGAAGTTCTTTTCAAAATATTAGCTGGATTTATATTGTCTAAGTATTCATAAATATAACTGAAACCGCACCAATACGAAAATGTGAGTCTTGCATTTATTCTAATGCATATGTGAAGTCAGTATACCACTATGCAAACCCATTAACTCGAATAAACTCAAATACACAGGCATTATGTATATTTCACAAGTTTCGTAGTTTTCAACATAGTTCCACGCCAACACAAGGCAACTTGACACCACACATGGTAATAATATTGAAAATAATAATTAAAAAATAACGAAAACTTGGAATCTTAATAACCTTGAACAGAAAAGTAGCTTACGTATTAAAACATATACATATATTTTCGGCTTTGTGCGTTGTTAACTTTGTTAAATATTGTCTTTCAAATTTCAATTTTAGCCATGACAGTATGATTGATTAAATCCAATTTGTGTCATCAATAAAATATTGCATCCGTATTTATTGGACTGGAAAGCTTTTAAACTAAGAGAAATTACACAATGAATGAATGGACGAACGAACGAATGAATGAATGAATGAATGTATGCTATATATATGCACAAAACCAAAAATAGATGCACAAGTGTTCTATTGTAATCAGATGAACACAATAAAGTATAGTCGACGACTTTCATTGGTAATCGTTGTCCCAAGTATCTGTTCATTATACACTGGCTTAATGATTGGCAGTGCGAGTAGCCAATCAGTAACCGCATCACAGCTGGTGATTTGTTTTTGCATTAATGAAAGAAAGCTATGGTCTACAAGCTTTAAAGCAGCTAGACTGAAAGTTTCAGCGTGTTGTTGAGAGGGTAGGGATATTTTAAGCAGTGAATTATGAAGCAGGTGTGGTCCTGGCTATTTGAATGGTCACTGTCAATAGACGGTTGAAATTAAAAAAATGATTTGTAGATGGGGAAAATTGCCTAACACTTCAAATTCTTAAATAGAATGTAAACAACTTAAAGGTTTCAATCAGATGTTTCATGATAGGCCATTAATTGATTACTGCAGCCTGCAACATGCCATACGTAATGATATACAGATCAAATAAAAAATATTACAATTAATAATTACAGACCGGGGCGAACTGGTGACGTCACAGCATATGTCGCTGGTATATCAAGCACTCATTCAAAGTGAACTTTATTGAATTCCAACTAAAAATTAAAGCGGGGGGGAGTCGTCACCTGCGCATGCGTCAGATGGCCATAACGTGTCACTGTTTCCAAAAAGCGTCTGCCCATGAGCCTTTGCGTTTTTAGCGTGCATTATCGTAGCTTGGGACTCAATTTTCACGCTCGCGCAGGTCACCCCCTCCCGCTTTAAATAGTTAACCAGTAAAGGAGTCAACAACATATCAATACCATTCCAAACGCTCATTATTAATTTATGGCAAAGTACCATGGGGCCCAATACTATGCTATTGGTGGAATTTGTTTCTTTTTCAAGCGAACAGTCCTGTAAGGGTTATGAACACATTGTTCTCGAAAACTGTTTAATTTGAAGCACTTCAGAAAGCAAATACACCTAAAATATTTTAAACTGATACACCAGATTATAAATGTTTCTAAAAAAAGTGTTTACGTACATGACACTTTTGTAAGCAGTGTGTGGTACGCAGCCATAATGACGGCAATGAGTATTACCGACTGCATAAGGTTAATTTATTAGATACAATTAGATGAAAAGTTGGTGCCAGATTTATGGATTTTAGTAAATTCAATAATTAATCTGAATATGTACTCGTACTGGCAGTAATGTAATGTACATGGTTTCGATATCGATGCTCAAGTTAGTATTTGGATTACACAACGTTACATAATTTAAACTGTTGTATATTACTGTTTTTTCCTGAACCTGAAAGTTTCAACAGTAATGAAGTGTTCGTGTGGTCAGGATCATATACATGCAGCCTCAGTATTCTTTGTGCCCGTGAATCAGAGATCGGCGTGCACGTGCTGTCGCTAATGGCGCGCTTCTGAAATGACGTCGTAAGGATGTGGATGACGCACAAATTCAAACTTTCCATGCATTGGTGGTGCTACACATCCTGACGGAAGTTTGAACTTGAACTTCTGTATCAATCTTGTTGTAAAGATCAACACCTCCATTTTAGCGAGCTCTGAACCAAGACAGTCACGAGAACCTGTAAAGTATTAACAGAATATGAACGGCATAGCGCATTGATATAATATCCATCATGATCATACATTTGTAATTTGAACATTTCGCATTACCAAATTGACAATTGTTTTTCTTTTCTCCATGTTTGTTAAATATTCGAAAAATGCACTTTTGAGTTAGTAAAAAATGTGAATAATGGTCAAACTGCAGATTCCCATTTGCCAAAAATAATGAGATACACATCTATACATAGATTACAATGTTATAAAATGATCCCGTGATATAATTTTTATACAATATACATTTTTAGTCTGTAACTGTCACAGCAAATTTAAAACGTTTCAAATGAATGTTTTACCTCACTCATCTGCACGTGATTAATTTGAACCAATAAGAAGATAGATAGATACATTCTGAGGTACTTATCACCAATTGGCAACACATATGACAAGTTACACAAGTTCGTTAGGAAATATCACGGTTTCCTATCGTTCTTCTTCTGGGTAAATAAATAGTTCGGGGAAAATATTTTCCCAATGAAGGCACTTGTGTTTACGAAATCTTCATTAAAATATACACATCCGAGGTAGAGCGCTTTTCAACTGCCCCCCTCCTCATTCGCATCGTTTATACAGATAATGAGTAGTTTTATTGTTTTTTCCAAATACAATTTTTGTAATTCTACTTTAGTTTCCTATATCAGAAAGGATGTTTAACCACTTACCTAAGCCGTACGGAATGACGCGTTCTCGATTTACGACTTCTCCATTTGCATCGAGAAATCGTTCCGGCTTGAACTCCCGGGGACTGGGCCACATTTTCTCATCCATGTGAACAGACCACAAACTACCCAGCACCATGGTATCTTCAGGGATGCGGTAACCATAGAGATCGACGTCTGTTGTTGTACCGTGTGGGACTCCAAGCGGCGATACCGTGGAACAGCGATAGATCTCAAGACAGGTCGCCTCGATGTAAGGAAGTTTACTTCTGTTTCGCATCCTAACATGCGCTTCGTCACCAACTACATGTGCTATCTCTGAATAGCACTTCTCTTGAATTTCTGGATTCATTGCGAGATAAAGAATAGCCCACATTAAAACACTGGCAGTTGTGTCGGCCCCAGCGTTCAGTAAACCTTTGCCTATTTGAGCCAAATCTCCTATCTTACCATCGTCCCAGTCGTCGCGCTGAAGGAATGCTTCGGCGACACTGTCGGGGTCTCCGCCATGCATGGCCTGACGGCACTCTTTAATTCGGTTTTCGACGTATGATGCCAATGCTGACTGCAAAGCAAGGAATTTACTTTTCAACGACGTGGGCAGATACCATAGCAACGGAAAGAATGTTAAAATATTGGCATCTGTAATGGCGGATACATTGAGAGACATCGTTTTCATCAGTATTTTGAAATCGTCATCGTCGTAACGGAATCTCGTGCCGAACAACTCGGAACACAGTACGTTAGACACTGCATTGTAAATTACACGAGTCAAATCCGTTGGTTTGTTGTTAACGATGTACTCCACTAATATGTCACTTTCCGCACATACTCTTTCTTCCATTACTTGTTTACCGGCGCCAAGCTCACGGAATGTCCTAACGATGAATTTACGAGTATGTTTCCATTCCGGCCATGGTGTAGTGATACCTATAGTAAAATGAGTTAATTTGATCACATACAAATAAAGAGCGAATATTCACTTATGTCGATGTTTGTTTACAAACACATGCACTGTCAAATAGCATTATGGTATGGAGCGAATTGTTTTTGTGAGTTTATTTTGTTCTTCTTCTTTGAGCAAGCGTTCCATTCCGGTTTACGTAAAAGCAATTCTGACAGAAAAAAGAACAATTGGTACCTTTTAATCAAACTTAAACATTCTCATCTAATGAGAAAATGCTCCGCGAACAAAATTACAGAGATTGGCTCTGCTATTTTTGTTTCTATTCATACCCGAACATAGAAACCCACACTGACAATATGCACACGCTGTAATTGACTGAATGGTTCGTGCATTCACCATTATTGTAACAAAGTTTCTAGATGTGAGATAAATAGTCCGTCCTAAGGACACGGACAAAACGACCCCCTAGTTGTCGGTAATATGTAGTATATAGTATATACTGTCATGGCTATAGATATAATCGTTTAGAGTAGTGAATTAATATTCAATTTTACCAAATTCATATTGATAATAACACTGAGTGGGTAAGACCGCAATTAAACAGCTTCCGGAAGGTAACTACAGCGGTAGCACCTGTAAAACAATAAGGGCGTGGTTGTTGAGCAGCAACTCATGCGTCTGTCTTTTGCTTTTACTGGCAAACAATTTCTTATTAAACAAACTAACCTTTGTTTTTGGTTGCTATGGAAAGAGACCATCGCTTTGGTCTTTCAGCAAAACTTTCCGATTTCTTGACAAACGCTTCTTTGATTGCGTCATGACTGCCAAGTACCACTACCAGTTCTGTGCCGAGCTTCACACTGAATACGTCCCCGTAGATTTGAGACCACTCGTGGAATTTTATCGGTACTTGTTTGCCACACTGCAACAATGAGCCTATCACAGGCCATCCTTTTGGACCAGGCGGGAGATTGATATGTCGATTACGGAAAAAACGTCCATATATCAAGAGATACCCTGCAAGCACAAAAAGCAAGACCTCGAACCACGAGAATGTGAAGTCGGCTGCCATGTTTTTTTTTCTTTGAATGCTACACACTTAAAGACCGGAACCGCTACCAGCTCGATTATTCACCAATTTAATTATGACCGTGACGTGACCAATGTCGATCCATTCACCCCTAGTACTCTTTTTGTTAAGAGAGAAATCACTGCTTGTTTTAAAAGAAGGGGTCAACATCAGGACTAGTAAGTCAGCAATTAACATATCAACAGACGGTGGGACAATGACAAAAGAAGCACACATTTGATATGAGTACACATCGATTTATCGCGGTCACACGCATGGAGATATTCCCCCCTTGGTCACCATGCTTCCATTGGAAATGTGCATTCGTTTGCCGTGAAAATCGTACCACGAAAAGCCTTTCCCGGGGTCCAAGATATTCTATATTTTTGAGTATGTTTTTCAGTCCCGAGTCTCGGAAGCGTTCAGCTATCATAATCAACATCCATTTCTTAAATCGTTTAATTAAGTCTAATCTCTAAATCAAATCAATAACAAACTTATGGGGCTGGTGAAATTAGCGTCAAGCATCCACAATCGGTGTATTTGGTCGAAATAACACAGGAAAGCGATCAGAAGAAGGGCAATAGGATACACTCGAGTGACGGTATTGTTTAGGTGTATGGAAATGTAACTAGATCACAAATTAGATATTTCATCGCCTTTTATTTTACCTTTAGTAAAGTTCTTCTAGTGAAACCACCAGTGTCGTGTCAGCATACCCAAACAAGACATTTACGCCCTCGTAACCAGTGAACCGAGTGATGAATGTGTTTGTCGGGATTGAAGGTCATTCTTTATACACGCGTAGTTAGTCACTGCACAGAAGTTACGGAGGCTTGTGTTTTTCGAACGTATCGAATGACCCTCCAAAAAATTGCATGAAATATAATGACCCTCTTCTTATTTAATACATAGAAAAGTGTGCTCCCTCCAGCCTCCAGACAGGACATTATTAATATAAATGGTTGCCATTATAATATCTGATTATTAACTGTATACTTATTACTAACGACATCTACACTTAATTAACGGGATTCAAGGGAAATGTCCGTAATAAAACATTACAACGAATTCCCATTACAAAACACATAGAAACTTATAAGTCATATATATATATATATATATATATATATATATATATATATATATATATATATATATATATATATATATATATATTGATTTGATATATCTTTCGAAATTGCAATATTAATTATAATACAAACCACATATAATAATAATAATATTTAACATGATTTTTTTCATTAAGATTATACATATTATCTCGGATAGTTTATTGTCAAGTTCAGTTCCAAGTCAGTGATCGCAATACCCACATCCAAAATATGAGTTATTACAAGGCTCAAAAATTTCTTAGAACAGAATAGAACACCCAAACTGATTTCAATTCTATCACACAACAAAAGCCAGTTTAATATTAATGTGACCTTCAGGACCATTATTTGGTTATGTGTATATAACCGTCTATAACAGTCTCACATTCACACAATGTATCAAATCTCGCACACCAAGTATATTTTTTTGTCGTCCAATCAGACTCTCCTTGCGAAGAATGTAACAATTAGTGCATGTAATATATGTATTAAATATTTCTTTATTTGCACAAATTATTCCCCTCTCTATGTAAAGTACGCATGTATTTAAAAGCTTATAAGCCTAACAGGGAGGGCGTAATACTTGGAAATCAATTAAACTTTGGATTTCTGACAAACAGTTCGCTGCATATGTACACCCAAAAAACAATTAGTGCTTCTCGGCCAACCATAAATCTCCATTGCCGGACTTTTCGTTGTTTTCCTAAAAGTGACATTGTATTTAAACCTTTTAGAACATTGTATATAGTTTTGTTCTCAACAATTGTTCTTGAAATTGTATACAGACCACGGAACATTAATGATGAAACACGGACCAAGTTTTACAATGCTACTTAGAAAAATAACAAAACACAAAGACTGAGTTCGAACGACACAATTACAGACACTCTGTCCATCTCAGATTAAATTTATTTACTTTAAGTCTATGTAATGATAGTCGACGTTGTCTATTTTACCATCCAAGCAGCACCGGATGATCGAAATATAACATCAAAACACTCCAAAATAGCATGGTAATTATTTACACTGTGTTATACATTTCAACCCACGTTTTTAAAACCGAATCAAATTGTTTATTCTATTGTCTAAACCAGAAATTTATTCACATAAATAATATAGCGTTGCACGTTCTGTTTTTTTCAAACGTTAAAGCATGCAATTTCACTGGTGTGAAACCTTTACTAATGGTCGTTGTAGTTAGTGCGCCCTCACAGATGGAGTCACGTCAGGTAAGGCAGACAACACGAGTTTGTGTAAACAGATTTGTGTCACCAGGAGAAAAATACACAGCAACTACAAATATAATACATACAATTTAACTAAACATATATATCATTTTTGACACCCTACCAAAGATAGAACGTTATTAAAAGCAGATCCAACAATCATCCAATCAACATCATGCGCAGACAATACCCATATTTGCAATCCAAACCGCGTTACTTTGCTGTGGCCTTTCGGTGATTGGATGTTAATTACAAGCGTGTGTATTGCATTACTAAAGCCCTAGCTAAATTATTTCAACATACAACATTTATAAATACGTTTTTAGTTTTTGTTTGTCCGGACCGACAACTTCATAAATAATTAATTACTTTCTTAGTGTTTAGTGACGTCATTCACAAACGTAGTTGTCTACATGTTTCATATGTGTATTATAGTCACCACACGTTGATATAGCATATTTGTTTGGTAACGCATTTAAAGCACTTTCTATTTTGCCTTTCATTGTGAAAACATAGACAGTTTCAACTAAAGGCAAACCTCCGGCATAGCCTTACTAGGGGCGAACACAGTGAGGACTTGAATAATAGAAAACGAAAATACTTTGTATTGACATTGAGAGCATACGTATGCCTTAATACTGTCTGTTATGTGGCTACGCAAAAAAATGTATTTGAGAAGTTTTATATATATATTATATATATATATATAATCTAATGTTTGCATGCGAGATTTAGTTATGAAATATATCTGCGAGGAACAATTCTATGGACGAGCCGTTCTGGGGCGTTAAATCATCCTACATTACCTACAATTCTGTGGCAAAGTGCATATTGAATTAGTTATTGCTGAACCATTATGCTTACAATATAGAACATTATACTACGTATCGCACAACCTTGGACTGCACAACATCCGGAAACGCCCCAATCGTGAAAACAATCTGTAGTGTTTGTTTCATTATACATTTATTCCACGAGCAAATGAGGCCAATCGTATTGCCCCACACCTCAATTTCTTGAAAATATGAATTGCTATAGTTATATGTTTAGTAATAAAGCGAGAATATCGTAAATGGAAATTAATTATCAAGTATATTCTTCACAGACACTACATTAACATTAAAAGCCTTCACAGAGAGTTCAAAATCAATGGGGGGGGGGGAGTCAGCGGGCAATGTGTTGAACAAACCTGGGGAATTTTTTTTTTATTAAGTCATTATTTTCATTAATATAATTCAACCAGTTCGCTCTAACATTACCATGGTATATATGTCATATTTGTAACAATACATTTGAGGTACACAGTCAGCGAATGGTAACCTGATAATTTACCTCAATGCTACATCGTGTCTGATACATATCGCCCGGTAAAAATATTAGTATTAATCATATGAAAACTGTGATTGCCAAGATTTCGATATATGTTACGACGATACATTGTTTATTGCGCAGGCGTTTAACACAAAATGACAAATAATCGTGTATGTTGGTAAATAGATACTAAATGTAAGCTATCGATGTCTTGACGTTTCAATTGGCCACTTATTTGAGGGTTTATAAGCGTGTCATGGCATATTGAACATACTGGTTAAGCAATTTTCTAAATTTTAACACTTATTTCATACATACCTAACATTCTACGGCAAAACACCGATATGGTGTTGTCACAATTCAAGTCGTACAAGAAACAGAGAGCAAATTAAGGCCGATGAGTTTCAGATTTGATAATATTCAACACTTTTCCCAAAATTAGACATTTCCATAAACAACAAATATTTGGAAGTGGGTATTTTATTGGTCATAATTATGTTGTTCGACTTTTTTGATTTTTTTTCCATTCCAATAAAATAATATTTTACTAAATGTGAACCGTTTATGAAATCAGAGCCTTTTTAATTGTTAATAAATATAACGGCTGTAGCAATCAGAAGAATTGTGTTTTTGTAATGTTTATGGCTACAGTTGAAATGCACAACAGTAGTCGTTTGTCTCCCTCCATATTGTAACCAAAGTGGTAATTAAACAATTCTGCGTTTTCATTATGTGCTTCGATTCCAACGTCCCTACCAGCTTTGCTAATCAATTCATAAATTATGATGTTATCAATTACTCCAATTGAAAGAAACCCAAAGTACAAAATCTGTAACCCCGGGTCTGTAACTACTTTTTTAAATATATTATTTCACCAGTATACAAGAAAACCACGTCCGATGTGCCGTATTTTCAAACCCATATCTCACAATGTACTAATATATCTACCACATTGTAAATGTGTCGTCTTATAACAACAGGATCCCGCAGTTTCCCAAAATCTAAAGGGTTGGGTTTTTTTTTACTCAAGAGCATGCCCGCCTCAAAAATATCATTAAAACTTGTCTTTTCCTTTGCGAGTTTGCCAGATGATAGCCATACAGGTAAACGAATGAACAAACGCCGACATAAATATAACTTCCTCGTTCACGTGAATAACGATATTAACGCGGTAAGTCATGAGTGACGTTAGCGTGGCTTAACGCTCTGATCGTCAAATTCAACTTTTCAAAAAATATTGTCCGTATTATTTTTTCTATATTTTTTTCTAAAAAACGATCAAAAACTATAGCCAATGGGAACGTATAGGTATATCCATTTGGTCAAAAAGTAACAAAGACATTAAAGAAAAGAACATAAAAGTTTGCAAAGCGTTTAACTTTAACATGATCAAGTTGTAGAACTGAAGAAGTGTATGATTTGAGGTTCTCAGCCGTAACTGTTCAAATCTCCGGCGATGCTGCCATTCAGTGACGCGGAAGCGCCAACACTTCATACTGATCCGGCAAGTGCGCCATACCAAACGTGCCGTCCATTGAGGGCACGGGAGAGTCTGGCGGTAGAATGAATCTGAATCGTTGCAATAATCGTGTTATGAATACAAATATCTGCATGCGAGCGAGGTCAGAACCACTGCAATCACGCGGACCTACAAAAAATGATAGAATAATTTTTTTTTTCATGAAATCTGAGCATATATTGAGCATTGATATTGAATCTATGTTAGTGGACTTTTATTTATCGCAGATTGTGAACGTCGGGATTTCTCTGCACTTTCATATCGTGTGCATTATCATTACATACCAGTAGCTCAGTGCAAACTTCATCAAACGAATAATGACTAAATTAATATCTTATATCAACGAAAAAAATTCTCCAAATAGCAGATGTTTAGAACGAAACCGATTTGGACCTTCACCGTCCATGTAAATGTTACTCCTTTGTTGAAATCATATCCTTATTTGGGATTTAAGATTAAAGTACAATAACCCTTGAGCATGATAATAAAGACAATAATTGTTCAAAGATTGTGAACGTATCAAAAGCAGTCGGCCAGTGAACTGTTTTTTTTTTTATTTGCGTGAAACAGAAGTTGGTAAATTATATATATAATCTGTCTATCAATCGTATTGGTTAGCAAGAATACCATGTTTCCTTGTCTCTGCATTGTTTACATCTAATCACGATATGTTCTTCGTTCTATTTTTTTAAAATCATAGACTGGACAAATGCTATTATTTCTGTGTTATTGTGACTTTTGTTTTTAATAATCTATATGTACGTAGCTTGTATGTTTGTGTTCTGTATCTTTATTATCATCATAAACCGTTTCTCCACTGTAGATTGTGAACAATTTTGAGTGTTCTGAAGCTGGTCTTCACACTCCAAGGTTATGTTCATATTTAAATGTGGTAAGATGTTTTCTTTTTTTACACCTGTTGTCCAGTTGTGTGTATTTCTTTTCCCAAGATGAATATTTGAACGACAAGCTTCTGAAAATAGTGTATTTTTTTCCATTTTTTTTATTCTATCCCAAAATTTGAATATTATTTTCTGAACATAGTATTTGTTTTATTTTGAAGAATGCCCTCATAGCTCTAATAAATGTACCCGTCCTAAATACCTATATGGTCAGTTTATTCTCAAGTTATATGCTATTTGTTTTCAATATATTTTTTAAATAATATACATTTAAATAACATGATCATTTTTTTTGCAATATTTATATCTAACTTCCATTGTTTACAAACGTTTTCCTACATTTCGAAGACCCGTTTTTTATTATAATGATGAAGGCAGGTCATTTGTACAATAAATAAGAACGTTGATTGGTTAGTAGTTACGGGAATAAGGCCACAATTTTGTGATATTTGTGTTCAATCTGAAGCCTCACAAATTCTTCTACCGTTGCCAGTGTATATAGACAGACCATCAATTACTTGGCCCGACTTTTTATTCTACAGATTGTTTCGTATTTAATGTTGTTTCTTCGTTACTTAATTTGTTCCCATTTATGCACGAATTCGAACTGGTGTGAATAACTTAACGCAACGTGCCTACTAACACAACACATTGCAGGTTCATTCGTTAACTCACCTAGCCCGAATGGTATAATAGATTTCCTGTTAATGACATTACCGTCGTCGTCGAGAAAACGTCCGGGATTGAATTCGCGTGGGTTGTACCAACGGTTTTCATCCATGTGCACGGACCAGACGCTGGCCATGACGATGGCGTCTTTAGGGATGTGGTACCCACACAGATTCGCATCCTCGCTCGCGGAACGAGGAAAACCCAGCGGTCCCACTGTAGAACAGCGAAATACCTCCAAACACGTAGCATCCACGTAAGGAAGACTTGCTCTATCGGCTATCTCAGGATGCCTCTCATAACCAATGGCCTTGACGATCTCAGAGTAGCATCGATCTTGAATCTCTTGGTGGAGGACGAGGTAGAGGATGGCCCACAGTAGGGTAGCGGCAGTGCTGTCTGTCCCGGCAATGAAGATCCCTTTTACCGTGTGTACTAATTCTATTATCTTATCATCATCCCATTCAGCCTCCTTATCTTCGAGAAAAAATGCATCGATAATATTTTCCGGTTCTTCTCCTGTGAATTGTTCGCGACGTTCGATAATTTTCTGTTTCATATACGAAACCAGTTCCGATTGAGCAGTAATAAAGTTTCGTTTAACTTGGGTCGGCAGGTACCACAGAAATGGGAAGAACGTGAGAACACTCGCTTGCATCATCGTCACGACATTCTGGTTGGACATTTGCAGCAAAAGTTTGAAATCAGGGTCTTCATAATCGAATCGTTTCCCAAATAGCATCGAACAGGTGATGTTGGATACTGCGTTTGCAAACACGTGTTTGAGGTTTATTGGTGTGTTGCTTCTGCTGTCGATATACTCGACTAAAATATCCCCTTCTGTTCTGACTCGTTCCGCCATTATTTGTTTTCCTAAGCCGAATTCCCGAAAGGTCTTGCTGATAAATTTGTGAGTGTGTTTCCATTTTACCCACGGTGTGTTAATACCTATGGGATAAAAATGGCACAAACTTTGTAATACACAGAATTAAACGACGTCACATTATTGTACTTTAGATGTCATTTACTGACTGAGTGTAACAGTTAATTGGGAACGGAATGCAACAAGTTGCAACTTAGTAGGCATTCCTGTGCCATGTACATTCGGGTCGTTTTTTTTTTCTGCACATCAACACAAAAAGTCGCACGACACATTTATGCAATCAGACAATATGTACAGTCGGTAATATTTTAACTCTGGTGCCGTTTTTGCTAATGTGTGGTTGGTATACATATCTTGTGAATGACTAACATCTAATGGCATGTCATTAATAAACAATAAAAGAAAGAGTGCTTCTAAAATTGAACCCTGAGGAGGGAATGCCCAGACTAACAAACTTCTTGTAAAATTATGAAGTGTTGATATACATGGTAGCTAGCTTTGCGAAAATACGATAATATTGAACCCACCAACTCACTGCCTTGCATGGTCGAAGCCTGAATAGAAACAGGATGATTCAAAGACGTCTCATAAGAGTGACGCTTTTTAAAACCTAACTGGGCCTGACTGCGCAATAGCCATGGCCAGTAAGATATTTATAGAACGTATCAAGGATAATGTCTTCCCAAAACCTAAATACTAGCATGATCAATATTGGACGGTAGTTGTTTAATAACACGGTATTATAACACGGCTTTAAGTGTAAGAAATGGTTTTGCCAATTTTTATGTGTATGGGAAAAATAAAGTATATACACATTTAGTACGTTTTAATTCTGTTCTTATGCCGCCAGCACCTGTTACTTTGTTTTCATTTCATTCCAACATCTGACGTGAAACGAAATCAGTTGAAATTTGGGGGATAACATGTCAGTCATAGAGAGTTTGGATTTACAGTGGCGGTGGCGGGGGAGGGGGGGCGCAGAGGTGTCGCCCTTCCAAAATCAAGCTGAAACCCCTGTGTCAGCAAAATTTGCCCCTCAAAATGCAGGAAATATCGTTTCAGAGGGTCTAGATTTCAAATATTTTAAGGGGAGCATGCCCCGGACCCCCTAGTAAGGTTAGTGAGCAGATCTAGACCCCTCATACCGAATTACGTGCCGCCGCCTCTGATTTAACAGACGTTGTCAACTTATCATGTCCTGCAGGACGGTCAAAATAATTTGAATTTAGCAGTAATTGACGTAAAAATCAAACAATGAGCTGTGAATCGGTGAGCACATTCCAACTCTCATCAAACACAATGAATGGATCCTTGCAACTATTTTGATTTTGAGAGCGAGCTCTCTATTTCTTTAAAAGAGTTTCAATTTTAAAAATAAACAATATTAAGTAAGAATACATTTTAAACATATTCCAACTTGTAGCCTAAAAACGTACAAAAACGTTGTATCATGTCAGTTTGTTGTGAGAAATGATTATCTTAATATAGCGATTCATCTTTAATTCCATTAGTTTGAACGAATTTTTCAAATCACACAGACAAACTTGATGTAATCTACTTCTTCGAGTTTTCAATTTCACGACATCTGTAAATAGTGGAGTTGTGTTTGGAATATGCAAAGAGAGCTTGTGAAATCGCAAAAGGAACTGCTTTTGTGACATTATTGTGGGTTAGCTTTTTTGAAAAACAAACAAACATGAACACATATACAAACTGTTGCTTTCAATTTACAACCTTCGACTTTGTTTATTCGTTGACGCCAGTGTTTTGCTATATTTGTTTCGGAGTGAATGGTTGCATAATCCCGTGTCTCCATCCATACATACGTTGTCCTACATTTTCAATATATGCTAACCTAACAAAAATTCGGATTTTATTGTAAATGACTAAATAATCGTTTGACCACTTTTATCAGAGAAAGTATCTCGGCCACCATAACGTTTATACCAGAGTATGTGCCACAGAGAGTTGATGCATCCGTGTATATTTCAATTTTACATCCCACACAGTTTTATCGCTTGAGTGTAATTGACATGAAAAACGGGGGTGGGTGGGTGGGTGAGATTTACAGTTTAACTCCCTGGCCATTTTTTACAGCGTAGCATTTCATACAAGTTGAGCACCCTAGGTTTACGTGTACGCGACGACCTGATTAGTCGTGTTAGTATGCATTAGTCAGTATTATATCTGCATCTGACGTAACTAACTAACTTAAAGGGAGGATTTGCGAAAATTCAGGCATAGTCTTGCCCCCGCTGCAAATAACTCCACTCATAATTATGCAAAGGTTGAAAGGAGTAAATGGTGCAACAATTATGACAATACAAGATTAGTATGCATACTCCGGATTTGGGGGGAAATGCATGGGAAATCCAGACACTGAATATTTAGTACATCAGCATAAGTTTTCAAGCCATCTAAATAAAAGCGATCAGAGCATAGTATTTTTTATGAGAGTTGTACTGAGACAAGTAAAGAGTGCTTACCCTTTTCTTTAGTAACGCGTGCGACTGCATAAGACTTCGGCCTGCTAGAAAATATATTCGAATTCTTCACGAATGCTTCCTTGATGACGTCATAGCTGCTGAGCACGATTACCAACTGCGATCCGAGTTGCAGGCTCATTACGTTGCCATATTTTCTCGACCATTCGTGAAACTTCAACGGAACTTGCGAGCCACATTGCAAAAGACATCCAATCAGAGGCCATCCTGCCGGCCCTGGTGGGAGATTGCGCTTTCGACGACGCAATGATAGGGAAAATGCAAGAATAGCCACTGTAATCAGAAAGACGATAGCTTGCAAATATGGCAACGCAGCGTCCGAGGCCATCTCTGTAAACATCAACTCACGTAACCAAGTGCAACAGATAACATGCAGGTAAACGCGACCTTAAAACTGAACAATTGCTTATCTTTGCAACCCGCTCTTTACACTTATGAGTGCCTCGATATACTAAACAATAATATTAACAAAAGCCATATACAACAAAGGCTTATAACAAGGGCTCGATGGGACATGACAAACCAAAGTCTTCTCCAGGCCTGGCTATATATTTGTCAGGTATGTGCGATTGCAGACACTACAAAAACATTGTCGGCTTATAGTATCCCTCTACGCGGGGGTTGGTAAACGTCACATTCGGCCAATGGAATAATGTATCTAATGACTAACAATGGGCATAGGGAATGAACACAGATCTTAAAAACATACACTTCTTTGTTGCATTATGATATCTTATTTACGTTTAACAGTACACGTCTAATCCTTTTATCGGACCCATCAGATGAAGAGATTGCCGAAAATGTTTTGATCTCCAAATGATAGTATGACTGATATACCATTGTCATAGTTTTATTTATATTTCAGAAGAAATTATGGCATTCCACATATTAGGGCAACCTAGTTCGAAACGATAAAATCTACTCTTTTTAATCTTCCACAAAACAACTCTGTGCATGGCAGCCTAGAATGTATGAACCCCTGCGGAGTTGAGATGGTTTAATCGACTCGGCATTATGCCCAATTAACCAGCCAGGGGCAATAAATTACAACACTTACGGACAGGGCATTGTTATGGATTTGGGCGCTATATATATAAGTTCATTACAGGCCATCAAGCCCAATAATGACTAATTTTGGCCGCATAACTTTTTCCGAGCGAAATACGCCCCCTCTCACAAATAGTTACATAATTCTAGCGTAAATTTTGTATTTGTTTATTATACCGTAATTGTATAGTCATTAACAGACTACAAATGACCGACGAGTTCTCGTTGAGAACGAGACTGCTGTCTAGGGAGCCACGTTTTGCCTCTCAACTTGTGTTATGTTCTCTACCGTGTTCGCCTCTACTGTTCCAATGAAATATGTGACCATGATAATTGAAACAGTGGAAGTCACGATAAGAGAGAATAAAACTCTATTTGGGGGACAAAACAGTCTCGTGGCAATCTCGATATCAACGAGATCTCGGCAGCCATTTTGGTCTACAGTATTATATTCCCATACAGTGTCATTACTCGTCACGTTCATCGAAAAATAGTCTAGACAATCTATTATCCAGATTTTACCTTAAACCAGATTTATTCGAATTTCAAAGATAGATTTATACTTATAGTTTGTCAAATAAGTTTAGCTTACTGCTGATTATTTCCTGTACGCTAATATTGATTATAGTCGTCGAAAACTTTATCGTCAGGGGAGAAAATAAACCGAACCAAATGACGACAGCTTACAATAACGAACATCTCGGGGTCAATCCCGTAAACGCACGAGGGAATAGGGGTGCAATACGTATTGTAATTGATTGAGATGACCCTACCCCCTCCCAATGTAAAACAACAAAGAAGTCTCAAAATTGTCCCATCTCCGAAGCAATCGTTAAGGCGCATGCGGACATTCGTTATTATTTCTAGGGAACACTCAATTTTCAATGTCACAGAAAAAAACTTCAAGAACGCGCAAGAAACATTAAAAACATATATAGGTCACCGCGACCCCTGTAACCGAACAATTGGCCATCCTCCAATCATGTCCTTTGTACCAGTGCGTGCCTTGATACACTGATCAAAAGCTACCTACAACAGAAGATTAAATGACGTCACACATTGACTCGTCCCCAGGCATGGCTATTCTGTTTGTTAAATCAAGTACGAACTGTACCATACTGCCATTGTAAATAGATTGATGCACGTGACACCAGCTATATTAATCATCAACTTACTAAGGGGAACACTGTTTTGAATAAATACAGCACAGTGTACGTATAAGTAATACGTCGAAGTGGTATATCATGACACAGTCAGGGACTGTGGTCATAAGAACAGATGTCTTTGTTAGAATTCAGTTACATGTACCTACTTCAAAGTAACATTCTAGCGGTGATTATGATAGCAAAACCCTTTTACTGTGATTTTAGATGTACAAGATATATATTGTAAGTCTATGTGGCGTGTTCAAAAAGCTATAATCATCGCGCAGGGTATTCAAATTTCAAGTCAACAAACACCCTGTATATGCATCACATGAACCCGGTACCGAACACGATGCTGCGCTGCGATTGTGGCGTTGTACTTTAGCGTTCTGATATCTGTATTTTCATGGTCTTGTTGTCAAGGAAACCAGGACGGTGTTTCAAAATGTGTTAATAAATATGATAACAGAACAACAAAGCCTTAAATTTGGAAGTGAGAATATTTGAAAGCCAACGGGAGGCTCTGGTCGTATTATGGACCGCAGAACCTTTCCTAACAATTGTCGGCATAATGCATTATACAGCACCCATTATTTGATCTTGCGAGGACAACAACGTACGTGTGCACCCTGAGGTATGCAAATCGCCCGACGCAAGAATTCCCCCTCATCCAGGTATATATCGTGATGGACTTTTGATTTTTTCTGCGATGCCAGAGTTTAAATGCGACGTTAAAATACGTTAAATAAAAATCCCATAATTATCTATCAAAGGACTTTGTAAATTTGTTACGGATTTCTGGTTTCAGGTAACTTGAAGATCGTTCGAAGTTTATTCGTGGCCCACACAGTCACTGTTCTGCTTAAAGCGCGGTAGTCGTCGCGCTGCGCATGTGCGACATTTGTGTTGATAAACATTGATTTTCCCACAATCCAATGCGCTCTTCAAATGGAAATCACAAGTATGAGGTTTGACCTGGGATCGACTTGCACTGATTACCGCCGGTGACTTCTTCGATACCTTCCAATGAAACATGAAAATTGTTTAATTAAAGCTTGGAAACGTCCAATTTCGTACTCGTTGATCTGCGCAACCGTCAAAGACGCCATCTTTGTTTATATGAGACCCATGTATCTCGCACATGCGCAGCGCGACGACTACCGCGCTTTAAGAACCAAACTGAGACATTTCAAATCACTTTATGGATTCAAAACATCGAAAATCAATGATTCAATCAATCAGGCTATTTATTACTTACTGTTTTGCCAGCAACAATGATGTCTACCGTTATATGGGAACATAGTAATTACGTTGGGATATGTAGGCAGTTGTTGATGATACCAGATATGTTCTAGTAAGTTTTGAGTAACATTGTAGAGTTGCATATACCTGCATATACAACCACTAAATTATACATAATTAGAGAATATGTTATTACATTTATTCATATGGTCAATTGAGTAAACGTCCAATATTCGATCCATCAATTGCGAACTAACCTTTTGTCGAATTGGGTTCTTTGGTAACCATCGATGTATTTCCTTGTTCTGAGTGAATTTCACAAATTCTCCCGAAATCCATGAACTAAATCGAATGACACATATCACCATGTTGACATAGAATGGCTGCAACTTCGCTGCCGATTCTGTTTTGATTGTGTCGTCCGTGTCTCTTCTATGAAGAAGCCAATGCCTCATGTTTGGATGTGTTTCCAGTGTCATGTAAGCGAACCCTTCAAACAGAATCTCATAGATCCATAGATCATCTATTAACAAGTCATTGTTAATGACACAGTCCCCGTCCAAAATGTTGTGATCATATCAATTTGATGCTGATGAAGTCATTGAGATTAAATTGAAACCATTAATAGGAGATGGATTTATAAACAATTATGATTTAGTCCTTTTACACGAGAATTGGGCAGTCATTTTGAATCAAATTACAAAAATAATGTTCATGTTGATGTATCTATTGGTATACTGTCTTTGTAAAAAAATTAAATGTTTATTGCATTCATGGGAAAGTAGGCATGGGTATCATGAAAAACAAAATGGCCGCCAGTCGGCCATATTAGTTTGAATCACAGAAAAAATATGACGTGCAAATCGGCCTAGTCATCACTGAGAAACAGTTCCGGACATGTAAAAATGACGATTTAGCGCTTTTACATGAAAATTGGGCGTCGGCCAGCTATTTTGAATTGAATAACAAAAATCATGTTGGTGCAGATGTATCTCTTCGTATACTATCGTAGTACAAAATTTAAACAGAAACGTTTATTGCATTCAAGATAAAGTAGCATGGGTAACATGAAAAACAAGATGACCGCCAGTCGGCCATATTATTCCGAAAAACGAAAAAAAAAATGACGTACACCTACAACCCAATATGTATGATCATCATACCAACTTTGATCCAAATCGACCCAGTCATCTCCGAGAAACTGCTGCGGACACGTTTAGGTATCAGATATAGCAACTTTTACATTCAAAATGGCCGCCAGTCGGCCATTTTTGCTCCGATCATAAAGTAACTTAACGTATATATGTAATACATTATGTATTGTCTACATGTAAAGTTTGAATGAAACCCGCCAATGGGTGTCCGAGATATAGCTCCGGGCGTTCGTACGGGTGGACGGACGGACGGACGGAACGAACCCAAATTAATAGTCCCCGTTTTCGGACTTAATCAATGTGACCGAATAAACGTGTTCATTATTACGAAGTGTTTTGTCTGATTACAATCTGCTGTCTCGTTTCGCAGCGAGTCGTACAATAATCACTAATACTATCTTTTAAACATAAGTCTTCCACATAAATATAGGGCAGGTAAATGTTTGAAAGACTACGATATCCATAAAATAGTTTCAATCATGCGGCTCATTTGACTGTAAGAAAGGAAACAATGACCGCATTTATCTCTTTATCTATCCTTGTTGGGCCCTGTTGCCCATAAAGCTACCAGGTTATCAACCCCAGTGCACCCTGTATTTGGCAGGGCGCTTGGGCGCGTTCCATGATATCCACCCTAAAAACTTCCTTTCCCTCTCTATCGTTCGCCTCCATGTTGTTTTAGGGCGCCCTACTTTTCTGCTGGTGCATTTCGGTGACCATGTGGGGGCTGTCATGCAGAA